TTCCACTTGATTTTGGGGTTTTATTTTAGCTATTCACCAAAAATCTTTTCAGCTTAAAAAGTATTTCATGTACTGTGAGAAAGGATGAAGGATAATATTCTGTGTTAATATTCTCAATATCTTTCATGATTTGAAAGTCTAGAGAGTCTGATGTTCATTCTTGTATGGACCATCTCTTCCTTCTACCCACCTTAATTTCTTGCTCACCATCCTTTTCTGTTCCTTCCTCATCTTTTCCAGAGAAGAGTGAGGTTTGTGAGCTGGTTTACCACAGACTGATGCAGTGGTAAGTAAGAAATGCCATTATTTTCTTCTCCAGCAGTTCCCACATTATTCCCATCACTGTTCCTCTGATTGGTCACCTCTCAGCTTTGAATGGCTTTTACAAGAACTGTACACAAGGACTCAGAGATTTTTCTATAGTTTTTATAACAAAGCTGTGTGGACTAAGAAATCAGCTTGAGTCAGCACAGGCAGCTGGGACAGAGCTGTTTCTTTCTCTCCAATGGCTCAGTGCAGAGCACTTCTGGGAAGCTCCAGAAATCTGGGAGAAGAGAGCAAGACCAGGACTTCTCCAGGAAATTCCATTTGCTGCTTCTTGTGATCTTTCTGCTCAGAAAAGCAGAAATGGTGTGAAAAGAAGAATAGACCTTCCTTCCTTTCCTTCCTTTCCTTCCTTTCTTTCCTTTCCTTCCTTTCCTTCCTTTCCTTCCTTTCCTTCCTTTCCTTCCTTTCCTTTCTTTCTCCCTCTCTCCTTCTCTCCTTGTCTCTTCCTTTCTTTCTCTCGTTCTTTCTCTCATTCTTTCTTTCTCCATTTTCTCTTTCTTTCTCCATTTTCTCTTCTTTCTTTCTTTCTTTCTTTCTTTCTTTCTTTCTTCTTTCTTTCTTTCTTTCTTTCTTTCTTTCTTTCTTTCTTTCTTTCTTTCTTTCTTTCTTTCTTTCTTTCTTTCTTTCTTTCTTTCTTTCTTTCTTTCTTTCTTTCTTTCTTTCTTTCCTTTTGATCCTTTGGGAATCTTAGGTATAAAGTGCCATCATTGCAAGCTCAGTGTAACAAGATGCCTTAGAAATCCTAAGGTATTGTCTGGCATATTTAAATCCCTGACACTCACTATGTTTAGTGGCAAAGATCATTAAGTATTGTGTATGTTGATAGAAGTAGAATACTGTTGCTCCCTCCTCATCAGTCTCTCAAGGTACTTAGTACATAATTTTGGCCTATTAAATGTTACTTTAATCTTAACCAAGTCAAGATAAGGTCAGATATTTCACCTTCACTGCAGTTCTCAGCCCTCTTATGCCTGTGTGCACAGAAACCTGTGAGAAAAACACTTCCATCATTTCCACAGCAGTGATCAAAGACATTCACAAATGCAATGGACTTCAAAGAAAAGGGCAATGGCCCAGACCTTGCTCTGAGGCAGTGTGCACAAAATTGGTGAGATCTGAACTAAATTGCTTAAAAACAGCATCCAGTTTGCAGCACTGGCTATGTAAGGGAGCCCAGGCTCGAGGTCTGTGGGTATGGGCTGCTCACTGGGGTGGCAGAGACCTCTCTGGACAGGGAAGCTTCAGCAGGAGGGAACTTTAAACACTCTGTGAGCTGCAAAGCTTTGACTTCTCATGTGTGGGAATTGGGAGTCAATGGGAGAAACAAAAAAAAACAAACAAAAAAGAAATACAGTCCAATGAAGAGAAAGAGAAAGAGATGCCATTCAGTGCAGCACTATCCCACGGTGATTGGTGGAAAACCAAGGAACTATAACCCCTGGGGCTTATTCTGAGCCTGTAAAATCCCCTCCTCACCTTCACCAAGAACATTTATATTCCTGCCCGTGCTACGGGGGGAGGGAATATGGATATTAACTACTCTATGGGACACTGGGAAGGCAGTCCATGCTTTCCCTCCCTTCCTCAGCCTCTGCCAAGTTCAGAACTAGCAGCCACACCATGGATGGGAGAGGAATGGGGCTCTGCTGCTGCCTGGCTTGTGTCTGACATTGTCTACCGAGGAGGGATGGTCATAGCCTCGGAAAGCTGCAGCTACATTCTGCTGTGGGCCAAGGCCAGCCCCTCCAGCAGCAGTTCCAATGCTTTAAGCTCTTTATTTACCAGGGTGTGCTTTTTAAACCCACCTTACTAATGTGCATCACTGCTGCCAAAGGCAATTTTCTGTAGGAGCTTGGGGAAGAGGGGAGAAAAGGATGCATTTCCCTACCCCCACTCCTGCCCCAGCCAGGAATGGAAAGCTGGGAGGTGAAAACTCAAGGGTTTCATTTAACAGAGTTAAAGCCTCCATTTCTGCACACTGTGCTGCCTGCACAATCATAGAGAAATATATCTTGATTAAATTTTTGATGAGCTTTCGGCTGCTCTAAATAATTAACCAGGACCTCTCTCATTTGAACACGGGTGCAACTTTTCATGTTTCAAACACTTCCCGCCTTAATCACGAGGGAATCGCTTGAGTTATTCAGGTCACATGATATATTTATTTATTTTCAACATCCCTAGTCAAAACAAATTTTGAACCTTTATGCAGGAAGGGGAGAAAGCAGCTTCCTTTTGATCTCACTCCAGGTAAATCCCCAGGAGAAGTATGTGTCTTGTTTCCAGTAGCTGGATAATAGAGATTGATAGGTTTATCAGTTCCAATACCATTTACAGAGCAACAGTTTGCACTCAAATCCTGAGTTTTGACATTCCCCAAATCCAGGATGTTCCAAAGATGTTGGAATGCAGGATATCACAGCAGTTTTTGAAAGACACATGCATTAATAAGGATACTTCTGTATCCCCTCATGGCAAGCAGAGGAGACTGATCCTACTTTTGACAGGCTGCTTGTATGACATGCTAACTACTGAAGTCAGTCCTGCTCCACCACCATGTAACAGCATGGAAAATGAGGGCTTAAAACACCTCTTCTGTCCCTTCATTAAGTGTCACAAGGAGCTCGAATGTTGTTTTATACAGAAACCAGCCTATCTTGTGAGTATATAAAGTGGCATTAAGTGTATTAAATATTGGATTCAGTCTCCTAATGAGGGACTTTGATCTCCTATCATAAGACTCAGATGTGAAAATTGGACTCTAAAAGCAGATTAGTAAAAAAGCTCCTTCCTAACCATTCCATTCTAGTGGTACTCAGTAAGTCACAGACTGAGCCTTGAATTCATGTAAAAAACCTGCAATATGAAATTAGCTGTGTCCACTCTGTAAGTGCAGTGGTCTGCAAAGGGGGAGGAAGGGGCATGGAGGTCAGACAGTGAAAATTTGGTTTCAAGTCATTTTCCAGCATATCTGCCTGTGAGCTTCAATATCCCATCCCCAAAAATGGGATCCTCTTCACCCTCTCAGAGACATCACAGGAAAACAAACATATCTAAAATTGCAGAGGGCTTCAAAATACTATAGACAAGGAAGCAGTCTGCACTGTCAGCTGAATTTCTAACAATTATCTACCCAGGGTTTCAAACTTGTCAATAAATTCAGGATTAATGATCTCAGCATGTGCCATTTTGTAGCTCATTACTTTAGGCACAAAGCTGGCAAGCTTGTTTAGTCCTACATGACTTTCTTTTCTTCCTATGGATGGTCACTGTAAAAATCCAAGCCAGTTATTTCCCAGGAGCAGGTTGCTGTTGTTTAGCTGTTACTGTAACCCAGTTCCTATATATTCTGCTTTCACTAATTTGTCCCCTTTTGCAGTGAAAACTGTAATAACTGTTCATTTTAAAATGCAGACTGCCTGAAAAAGGGCCTCCTGAGAAGTGACAGGTTTGGAGAAGTACTTCATGTGCAGGAGAGCATTTTAAATTGAAAGCTCTCATGTTTCTGCAATGAGACCAGCAGAGCTACATGCTATTAAAATGTGAGTCTTGCAGGATTTTCCTCAAGAAATGTCCTTTGGTGCTGGTCATGTCTTCAAACAGTTTCTGCAAATCGTAGGCATAGGTCAAAATTCACTTATTTTTCATTTGATGGTATTGTTGTCAGTGCTTTTATTTGGCCAAAAGCATCAACCAAAATGAAGAAGATCAAAAGCAACAGAGCTGGGTATAAGGTGCTGTGGTTCCAGTGTCTCAACAGTTTCTTTGCTCCAGCTGGGCATCCAGACATTAAAAGGTAACTCAGAATCATCATCTTACAACAGAGGCAGTGTAAGATTTTCTTCTTTTACAAGAGCATTGCACAAACAAACCGTGTTTGTGAGCCATTCCTGTGGCACATGAGGCAGGGAGGGGTGCTAATTGCAAAATTAGATAAAGAACTGCTTTTCTTCTCCAGCTGCTGATCCCAGCTGTGTCCAGCTCAGTCAGGTGGCCACACATCCAGCACTGAGGACAGGAATTTGGCCTCAGGCCTACACACTTGCTTTTCATCTTTGGGTGACCCCAGCTGGTCACAAAGAGCATCTGAGACTCCTCCAAGGTTCCCACCTTCCTCATCAAGATGCACTAAATATATTTGGAAACCTGGCCTTTAACCTGCCTGTGCTGCAGTTCTTGCTGCTCTTTGCCTCTTCTCTGCCTGCTGCAGTGTGAGTGCAATCCCTCCACAGCAGCTGCTGTCCCCCCAGCTCAGTGCTCATGGCAGGACCCCCACTGTCATTTAGGAGCCTCTTTACTCTCAATAACAAAGCCCCCATTATCTCAGCATCTGCCTGGCAGCACTGGCTTAGTGGTGGACTCCATAATCTTAAAGGCCTTTATCAAACTAAATGATTCCATGATCTTATTCTGTCTTTTTTTCAGCTTAATTTTTATATATCTACATATGTTAGGTCAGCTACTATTTCTGTGGGCTAATGCATTGTCATATGTTCTATTTTAGTAACACCTGAGTGTGATTTATTAAAATGACAGACCACACTATGGTCTTCAATGCAGGGCTAATTTGTTCCTACTTTTTAATGCAGTTTCTCACATAATTTCCAGCATTCAGGAGAATAAGTATTTATTTTAATCACCATGCACTGCATATGTAATTTTTTTCCTAGGTGAAATTTCTTTTTAATGGAGGCTGGGTCATGAGAGAGCAATTATATAAGTTATGTGCATGTTACAGAATAATTTAAAATCAGCTTTAGGTCAATCTTTTTTAATTATCTATTTTATCAACTGTTTTTGACTAGCAATTTAAATAATTGTGTTTGCCTAATACCTGGAAGTGTAATTGCTTTTAGATGGCCTTTATTCTGATCTCAGCATCAGCTCATACTGCGCATGTTTGCATCTGTCTGCGTGGTGACAGATTTGTAGTGGCAGCTTGTATAACTTATTTATAAAATGACAAATTATTTTAGGATTTCTTGAAGTTCACAGACTGGAAATATAGAGAGACACCTGCTTGCTGCAGAAAGCTGAAAAGGATCTGCTAAGTTGAAGAGAAACTGCATGAACTGGTAAAGAGAGCTTTGCAAATGTGACAAAACCCCACTGGCCACTCTTACACTGCTCCAGGTTGCAGGCAGGGCTTCATAGACGTCATTTTTTAGCAACAAAGTCCCTGTTGCTGAAGTCAGATTTGACCAGGAAGGTTCCCAAAGCCTCTCCTGGGGTTCCTAAGGAGAAGCAGCCTCCTCCTGGGGCTGGTTCAGAGCAGGAGCCAAGGGGAAGCGCTTTGAGTGGCGTCTGGCAAAGCCCAACACACAAGTGTCCTTCTGTGTCCTGCAAGGACAAAACCTCTCTGTCCTTCACTTTGGGCTCTCTCAAGCAAAGACTGCAGAGAGTGGCCCAGGGCTGTTTCCATCCCAGCCTAAACTCAGCTGGGCTGTCACTGTAATTGCAGTGGGATGTCACTGAAGCCACCTCACAACAGGAAAGGATGAGTTCACCAGCAGGAGGCTTTGCTGGTGCGGAGTCTGGCATGTCCAGGTAGAAAGAATAACAAGAGCCTCTGGCAGAAGTTAGCCCCAGGTAGAAATTCCCAGCAGAAGGAGGAGAATAAACAGGTGAATTGCCCCACAGGAGCCCTAAGTGGGCAGAGCAGTACTGCAGACACAGACTGAACTGCACAGTCAGGCACTGAGCACACAGAGCCCTGCAGCACCAGCAGCCATCAGGGGCTGTGTACTGGGAGAACAGACAGTGGAAATAACCCACCACACCTCAGCTGACAGGAGTTCTGCATTTAAAAATAAGTTACCACATGCACCTGAATGAAGCCTACCCAGGCACAGCCTTCTAACAGATAAACCACTATGCACCTTCCTGGGATGGCTATTCCCACAGCCACTTACATACGTAATAAAGATACTTATCAGCATCACTCAGAAAAGAAAATATTTGTTTAAATTTAGCATCCTGAAATACCACTCACAGAAACATCCATTTATCAGCTACTTAATGGCCTCTTGCTTGACGGGCAATTTCTTTTCTAATCTGATGAATGGTTTCATATTGTCCAGGTCAGTTTTTGGTTTCATTAAGCAGCCCTGTGTACGTCAGGACTTCTGGCCCATAATATTCTGAACTGTATTCAGCCAGCAGTGAACATCAATGTTTAAGCTTGGTGCCAGCTCTGCTTTCTGTTCAGCCTGCTGGGTGCAGCCTGAAGGGTACATGGCAAATGACCACTTTGGTGTCAGGCCAAGTCTGGCCTGGACAGGAATATTTAAAGCTTCAATGCTCATAATAAAGCAATATAGCAGCTTATCAATTACTATGAAATTAGTTTCAGAATTGCTGCTGGATGCAAATGTACACATCAGTGACATTTATTTTCCTACCAAGAAAGACTTTATTTTGTTTTTGAGAGTGACTAAGGTACTGGCATAGTGCTCTGTGTTTTTCAAATTGTCTGTATTTGAAAAATGAACTATCCCTCAAGGTAAATTAAATGAACCTTTTTCTTTGTTCTTTCAATCCTTCTGCTGGAAGCCTAGTGCTGTTCAGCTGGAACTGTGTGTAAGCCAGAGATAGACAGGTTGCTCCTTTGAGCATTGACTTCCCAAAAAGCATATAGACAAAATAATAGTAGCAGGAATAAAACTGAACAATTCAGTCTACCCTCATTGTCAGAAGAAGTGCAGGAACTTGCTGTGGACATGAGGGGATAGGACTTGGTCAGACCATGTGAGGATGCACAGGAGGTCACACAATTTCAGAAACAAAAAGAGAGAAGGAGATAAGTGAACTGGCAGAAAGGATAGTGGCCGGAAGACACAGAGCCTAAAGGCCATTCCCACACCTGCTATAACCCCTTAGAAAATTTCTGTCTCCATTTTAGACCCTTTTGTCCTGCTTGCAGCATCAATTTCACTGAACATACTGGTGTTTCTGAGTAGTTTGTTCTTCTTAGAATTTGCAAATACTGTGGAGTGTTTCTCCATCAACACAAAACCTTCCTGCTGGCTTTATTTGTCTCAATAATGAGTGTCCAGCATAGAGTGTGTGCAGTTTCTCCCCAGCCCAGACCCAGAAGTGTTGGAGTGGACTCACCCTCACATCCTTGTGCTCAGCCCTGGAACAGAAAGGCTGCTGCCATCACTTCTCTGCAGACACTCACCTTGTCCTCTGCTCCCAAAGGTTCTTCTTCTTTGGTCACATTTTCTACCTGCAAACGCATTTTCTGCTTGTTCCCTTTAGCATCCTCTTTTTCTGAGTGTGAGCACATGCCTGTGCACACTTCTGTGCTTTTTGCATGTATTTTTCCATGTGACTGAACGTTTGTATTTCACTTGTGATTGTTCCCTTCCTGCTGCGCAGAAAAGCTGTAAACATTCCAATTTCTTCTGGCACACAGAAGCAGCTATGATTACATCCCTGCAAGTTCGGTGATAACAGCTGACACATCCATTTCTGATCACAACTTCTGTGGGCAGCCTGCCTCTCACTCTCTGGTTGGTAAGGAAAAATAAGGGTTCTTCACAAAAGATAAAACTGTGTGAGCTTGTGCTCACCTAGGGAGATGCTGAGCTCTGAGACAGGTGAGCTTAATGCTGGGATTGAAGTCACACAGTGTTAAGCTGAAAGTTGCAAACACATTTTTAGGTATATTAGGATCAGGTAGTTATGAGACTCTTAAATTCCAAAAGTTCTGCTTATGTAGTAAAATGATATAGTTAAACTGAAAATAGATTGAAGTGGCATAAAAAAGTATATATTTATGTGAAAAAATGCATTTCCTGTAATTACCCTCTGTCTTCACATAAATAGATGCTCACAGCATTTAGTCCTGAAATGGTGCAAATCTAAGGAGCACCAAAGACTTCAGATTTCTCCAGCTGGATGAATATTACAGTTACCTCTGTGTTTTCTTATCAAAAACATCACTGTGATTAGAGACAGGTAATCTGTGCTTTATATATGAATGCATTGCAGGATACATGAATCTAACCCCAGCTTCTTTAAAAAAAAAAAAAAAAAGCAGTTAAAAGAAACCAGAAACCCATATCAGAACTCAGAAACTGATATTGAAAATTTAACACCTGAATTGGACTGGGAGGGTGTACTGTGACACTGAAACTCCAGTGCAAAAGGAATGGATGGATAGATTAAAGGAGATAACACAGATGATGGAGATTTCAAAGCCAACAGTTTCTCTGACATTGAAAAGGATTTCCCCTCACACAGGGAATTGCACTGCCAGGACTGCAAAAGGGAAGCAGTTCCCTGCCTACTCTTCATTTCAACAGTGCTTAATTTAACTTAACTTCAGCCACTGGGCCTGAAACTGTCTCAGGCACTTGAGAGGGAATGGAAGATCAAGCATAGATTTTCATATCTATTTACTTTAGAGTTTATTGCATAATATCATTAAAATCCATGACTGAAATCAGGCTTTACTGGCTGAGAACACTCAAAATTTGTCAAGTGCCCAGCATGACATCAAAAGGCAGGGGAGTGACATCTCCATCAGCAGGGAACTCACACCTTGGCTGCAGGGTCTGAGGTCAGCATGAAACAGAGATTATGACAGAGACATCCCAGACAGCCTGCTCAGGCCTGGGCTAACAGGAGGGCTGGGGTGGCAGTAGCTCTGTCTCACCCCAGCTCCTTTCCCTCTGCAAGTGCACACAGAGGCAACAGAACCTCTGTCCCTGCAGGCAGAGATGTGGATCCAGGGGCTGGCAAGGAATGGACCAGAACCAGCAAGTTACAGAGCCAGCACGGTGCCACGAGCTGGTTTTGACACAGACATCCCCTGTGGCTTTTAAAAGCTCTTGCCCTCCCTGTTTCCAGTGGAACCCCAGTTTCCAGAGCTGTCTGCTGGGGCTGGTCTCTGGGTTTTGGTCTCTGGGTTTTGCTCCAGCAGACGCACTGCAGCCTGTCCTTCCTGCAGGACCTCGGGTCGTGCCAAAATCTGCACTGTGCAACTTGGCATGCCCCAAAACTCCAGGAGGAGTAACAGCCCAGCCAGCACAAACATTATTCTTAGCAAACAAAATTTTTTTGGCAAACTGAGTTGGTTTGAATAGAATGGAGTTCAGTAACTGTGCTGCTCAGAATCATGTACTCCATCTCCACAGAATTATAACAAATAACTATCACCCCTTCTTGGGAATTCAATATCCAAGCACAAATAACTCGTTTGAGATGAAATTTTTATCTTTTTTTTTAGCTGCATCAGAATGCACTGGCACTCTTTAATCGTTTGCTGATTGAATTTAGTGCTTGGCTTTTAAAATAAGGGCATGCTCAAGTTCCTAAATTCCAGGAGTACAAACAGCAAGCCAAGTGCTTGCAAAGCAGCTTTGCTGACTGCACCTGCTGGGGTTTGCTGCGATGCATCACTCCTGGGGAGCGTGTGCAGGAACAAAAACACCCAAGTACTGGGGAAAATTCTGTCTGCATCATCAAAGCTTTTCAGATTTTTGTAATTTTATTTTTATGAGTATGGAAACACGTTTATAGTATGTTTGCAAACTCGTGTGGGTAATTTTCACATGCTGCCTTTGAAGAGGCATGAAGGAGGCTAACATGAAAGGGCTGAACAACACCTGGTGGTTTCATACAAGATGCTGAAGGTGATGTTTCTTGCATAACAAATTGCCTGTAAGAAACTGAATGAGGCCCTGAGATGGTTTTGAGGCTTTAAATGAAACAAGGTTAAAACCATGCAGCATTAGCTTTGTCCCATTAAGAGTGTTTTCCATCTCTGCATCCACTTATAATTATTTTCATTTTCACAAACACAGCTTTGAACAACAGCCATGCTCTAGGACTGTAGACAGTATAAATAATATTTTTTAATTCTCTATACAAATATAAAAAAAAGGCAAGATTAGTTTTTACTTCCATCTAAAACTTACCTGGCTGTCCTTTAATTATTTTACAGGACATGAAGAGTCAAAAAATTGCCACCTTTCTGAACTTGGAGGAACGCAGAATGGGTGCACAACTTTGTGAAGCACAGAAGGATCTGGGCTCAAGTGATGCTCTTCCCATCTCTGCCATGGAGCTGTGTAATAATGAACAGTTCAAGGGGGTCAGAATCTGTGGTGAGATTAAAGGCCAGGAGCAGAGCATACAGCTTGTAAAAAAGAGAAAGAACAGACAAAGCTGCTTCCTATCACCTGTTGGATCTGGTAGTTTTACAGCCCTGTTTTCTGTACCATTTTGGCTCACAAGAACAATTTAACAATTTATTCTGTGTCTGATATCCAAACCTGGAGATCCTATAAGCAGCTTCTCTGATTGTTTCAGAAGGAGCAGATTTCCATCACTGGAGGGCTGGGCACCTTCAGACTGGGCACCCATCATTACAGAGGTTGGTACTTAAAAATTGAGATGCCAGGAATTTTCATTCTTGATCAACACCCAACAGACTCCTTTGTTTGAATCTTTAATCCCACCATTAGGCACAAAAGTCTATTCAAATAATGTGGATTTGGACATTAAACCTTTTGCCAGTTAAAATTATCCTTATAAATCACACAAAGAGTACTCTCTGAGAGTAACCTGACTAACACCAGCCTTAATGTAGCACCTCATCCTCTGCAGGTACCACTTGCACAGGTTTGTTCCTTGCTACTCAATTAGCAATTTGTGAAATATCTTTCCCTGGCAATATATGAAACACCAATATAAAGAACACAAACCATCTCACTTGGCTGCGTTCTCAGTGTCTGAAGTTGTGCTGATTTATTCTGCACAATGCTCCTTGGGGAGTGAGAGCATGGGTACAGGGTGTGGCATGGCTGGATGACCCCAGGCTGCAGAGGCATGGAGGTGTTCAAGTATATTTTGGGGTTTTTTTCCCCACTAGGATATTCTCTTTTCTAGGCCAGGCTAGTGGGTGACAGCCTTATGCAGACACAAGTTAATTGCCAATTTGGATACTTACAGTCTAGGCACAGATATGTTTTTTCTATGTTGTTTAGTCCAAATAAAGCAAATCTAAAGGAAGAAGGGAAGGCAGGAATATCCAGCTGTGATGGGAAGCAGAGTTTGCTGCCCTGTTACTGCCCCAGGCACGGCTGGAACAGATTCACTCGTGCCACACTCCCCTGCACCCCCAGGTCACCACCTTCCCATCCTGCCAGCCCTTCCTGTCAGACATTCCAGCAAATGGCCAGGAGTGACCCCCAGGGCCGAGTGACCCTGGGCACAGTGCTCAGGGTGACTTTGGCCACTGCCACCTGGGCCAGGACTCAGAGCTGCCCCAGAGCTCACAGCTTGGCAGGGAGTGCTGGCTCCAGCTTCTGCCACCCACAGCTCTCCGAGTGCCACAGCCCGACACTGCCAGGCACCAGGCGCTCTCTGCTGCAGAAGCTAATCTCTTTATAGCAGCATTTGTACATAAATTAATGAAAGATCAGAATATAAAGATGTTCATTTTTGATTAGTTGCCCATTTACAGGAAATTCAGTTAAAACTGTTTAGTTTTATCATCTCTAGACAAAATAAGCGTGACAGGATATTTTAGCCTCTGGATTATGTAGATAACACACAGAAATGTCATTTACATTTTCATTCTTTTCATAGAGCAACAAACCCATGCTTGCAAGCAAATTAAAATTCAGAACTTAATTGGATTTTTATATTCTCTTTAAACAGGTAATATTGTTTTTCTTCTTTTTATTATTGTATCTGAACACTGGATTTCATTTTGAGAGTGTGCCACTGAAGGTGAGAGGCCCTCTGTGCTAAATGGTTCATTTAACACCATTAAAATCTACGTTTCTCCAACACGTTTGAGGATTTAGGTTGTTGAATGCCAGCATTTCAGTATTGTTAAACAACAGAAAGAAAGGTTTTGCAAAATTACTTTCTTGGGTGTATTCATATGTATATGTATGTGTGTATATACAGCCACACAAACACATACATTACTTACCTGCTTACATGTGCACAAGTTCACTTATACACATGTTTATATTTATATGTATATCTATGCATGCAAATGCAGACAGAATGTTCCAATAATTTATCTCTGCACACTCACAATTTGCCATAACTTGACAAACTATTTGAGAGAAAAAAAAAACAAAATGCTTTTTTTGTTTAGTATTTCTCAAAACTTACTATGATGTGAAAACAATGGATATAGTTCACTATTTCCATTTTCTTCCCCCCTTCTTTCTGCTTATCATAAGCTTTACCAAGGTGGCACTTTCTGATCCTGTATATATGACCTGATCTCTGATGGTGACAGTAAAGCCCAGGTCTGCCATATCCCACTGAGGGGAAAGTCATATTGAAGAGTAAGAAATATCTGTGAGAAAACTTCATCTTTTCATTGAAGAAGATACTGAGAATGTGTCAGGAAAGAGCATTTTTAATGGTGAGCAGAGGGAAAAGTCACCTTGATGAGGTCACCTCCAGGCTTTGTGGCCACTGCTTGCTCTCAGTGCTGGAGAGGAGTGACACAGCGCCAGCAAAGCTGTGCTTTAGATCTCATCACTCAGCTCTGTGGCACTGGAATGGAAGGCTTCACTCCAGACAAGTCATTTGCTCTCAGGAAAATATCTGAAACAATGAAAATGTTAAAAGATGAGAACATTTCTTGGCCAGCAGTTCTGGCTGCTCCCCCGAGTGCTCTTGGCACGGTGGGAATGAGGGAGGCCATTCCTGTTGTGCCCCAGGCAACGTGGTCCTGCTTTACCCCAGGGTGACAAAAGACTTCTTGCAAGCATACATCTTCCCACTCATGTAATGAACACTTCATGACCCTGGAGATCCCGCTGAAGTGGAAGCATGATTCAAAAATCCTCAGTGCTAAAAAAACAGGCTCACACTAATCCCAGCCCTTCCTTTGCTCCAGTTACTTCTGGTCAGCGAGTCAAACATCACACCCACACCTGAAACCCTCAGCACTGCAGATCTGTGGTGGGGTGAGGCAGGAGCAGAAAGGCATTGCTAACTGAGGGCCTAATTATAAAACTGCCAGTACCTCTGGGAAATAACTGACCGCAAATGTCAGCTCATCAGCAGGGTCGGAGCATTCTTGCTGAAGTATGAAATTCTCGGCATTAAAACTCCTCACTTCACATTGTAACATTTTCAAGTGCATGACTTAAAACTGATCATGCCAGACATCCTCCCATATCTTTTGTGTTTTCCCTTCTGAAACTGGTGATGGCAGTTTTAACACCTGCCACGAGCACATAGGTGTGTAAATTAAAAATGTGCTTTGCCTCCTCTGCCTTGACTTTCCTCACAGATTATTACTGCATTTACATCCACCTGAGGCAGAACCTCCACACATTCAGTGCAACAAATGGATGCATAAATATGCAACAAATCCCTTGCATCATTTGAAGATTTGCCCCTCGTTTTCTAAGTTATGTTTTTTACAGGTTGCAATGTGAGTAAGGACTTGGAACTTCTTTTCAAAAATAAACCTTTTCCACACAAACAGACACCTAAGTAATAAAGAAGTAATCAAGCAATAAAAGCCCCAGTTTGGTGCTACTTCCTCAGGATTTTGCCTGGTTAGTTCTCTGCATTCCTTGGGAATTCAGAATCAAACATATGGGTCTGTCAGAAAGACATTTTTTCCTTATTTCTGCCCAGAGTAAAGAATTATTAAATGTACATATAACAAGAAAATCTCCTCCCACCAGGATATCAAGTTCAGCTTTGTAGTCATCAAAGCTTTGTCTAATTCAAATTACTTTGGCATAACTGTCAAAATTTGCTCTTCCCTGCTGATTCATCTCAGATGTGTCACATTTTTCCCTCCTGATTAGCCAGAGATGGGCCTGGCCAGCCTCACTCACACGTGGCTCCAGCACAGACCTGTGCAAGGTGGGGCAGAACCAAGAACTGCTCTCCCATCCTCCTTGACAGCCTCACACTCTGCTGAAACATCCAGAGAACGTGGACATGAAAGAGGCCCACAGAAACAGTCACAGAGAAAGTAATATTTCATTTTGAAAGAGTTTTCTAAGCATTTTTCCCCCTCTCCCTCTCCCCCTTTTTTTTTTTCTTTTAATTAAAAAAATTTCTGGTTTAGTAATAAGTCAAAGTTCTCTCTAAAGCACAACCTCTTATGAAGCTAAAAAGTAAAACACAGTTGGCAAGAGAATTTTTCATTTGTATCTCCAATGTGCCAGTTGGAAATCCCCAGTGATAATGCTGATCCATGTCATGATCAAAAACCCCAAAACCAGTGAGGGGTTTTGGGATTCAAAGGTCTGTTGGAATTAAATAGAAACTATAGATGTACTTCTCTTCCATTTGTAGTTTTCCACATGCTTTTTTTTAAAAAAAATAAAGACTTTCTGAGTATACCCAGTATGTGTGTCTCTGGTTGTGGTGTAAGCAGCTAAAACCAGCTCATCTTGTTCTGTGCAAGTGACTGGAGTGACCTGCACAGTGCTCAGCACCACCAAACTACATAATTCTATTAAAAAATGGGATACTCATCAGCTTTTTGACCAGGCACTTTAGCTAATTGTGTTAATAAGACTAAGTGAAATTCAAGTGCTCTCCAAAAGGAAGAGTCATTTATCAGTAACCCTCTGTAGGGCTGGAGGATGGAATTGTTTCTGTTTTCCAGGTGACAGGGAGGGCTGCTAAGAGATTTACCCAAGGTCACACCAAAGTCTGTGGCTCTGACCAGCCCCTCCTTGCCTTGCAGGGTCGGGGCAGCTCCTAACCCCAGTGCACAGGTAAATGTGGGGTCTGTAAGGAGCCAGTGGCTGTCAATCCTGCAGGGAGCTCTTACTGATCACTAAAATCCAACTCCCAGAAAATTCATGGAGGTGCAGAGCTGTGCAGAAAGCATCTCATCAGCAGCACCAGCAGAGAGGAGAATTCACTGTGAGACTTCAGAGTTAAACACTTCCAAATGTCAAGGCAGGATGGCAACCCACAGGAAGAGTTGTCTCTGCAGAGTTAGGACATTTCATGGAGAACACATCCCACACAGTTATCCTGATGGTGTGGCTGCTCCTCCCTGGCACAGCCAAGGCAGGGCCTGGGCTCTGACAGATTTTACACCAGAGCACCTGGGGTGATCCCCGTGGGGATGCAGGTGTGGGTGGCTGCCCAGAAGTGATGTGTGTTGTGGTTCTGGACTCTCACACAGCATCTCTTAACCCCTGGGTGCACCTGCTCTGGAATAAACTTCTGCAAAACTCACATACATGCATTGAAAAGAATCACTGAAGTGTTCTGAAGTCATCAGCAGTTCTTGGGAGAAAAAAAACCCACATCTTTTCCTGATTTTAGAAAACTTTGTGTTGTTGAAATGGTTTTCTTCTTGAACATCTAATATTGACGCTTATGGGAAAAGCAGCAGCAGGAAAAGGGTGTCAAGAAATATCATTTCAAGTCATGGGTCATAATCACTGGGAAACAGGAAGGTGCTGTCCTCTTCACTGAAAGGAAAACAGAGGGAGGAAGTTCCTTACTTTCCTTCACTAGCCACAGACTAATTCTATTTCATTAAATTATATTTTAAAACAGACGTCAATGGAGTGATCATAAATCTAACTCCATGAGGACAGACAGTTGAGTGAGGCTGCTTTAAAGTCACTGAGATTTCTTGTATGCCCACGTATCAAAGGACTTCATTCAGCTGTGTGATTTTATAGTTTTAAGGTTTTTGCAGCAAGGAGTTTGTGGCCTTCATATTACCCCTAGACAAGCCCAGTAGAGGTCAACACAGCTATATATTCTGGAGCTCCCCAAGTATACGAATTTTGAATATTTCTGCTTCCCTCTCACCCCACATCCCACAAACCAGAAAATTCTACACGATACTCATAACAATCTCAACACCTCTGGCTCTAAACCCCCCAGAAATACTCTGCAGGGGACACCAATGTTCCTTGCACTCACAGAAATGTGGCCAGGGACACTAATGAGCCATTAAAATGTGCCACCTGCCCGTTGCTGGTGCAGGGAGCTGTCAGAGGCGCGGCGTGCTGTGACTCTGCTCTTGCTTGCAGAGATCCATGTGACGCCTCGAGATTGAACCCACTTTAAAACCTTCTGCCTGGTGAATGGATTAATTTGTAGCAAGATCTGAAAGCCATGGATTTTCCATACCTTATCTCCAGTCTAAAATATAAGCTCAATATCTCTAATGCTTCAGAGACGGGGAAGGAAGGTGGGACGTGCCCTGTCCAGGGTTTGTGTGCGCTCCTCCTGCTGATCTCGTTTGTTGTTTCACCACCTCACCACCCCATGCAGCATCTGGCAGCTCACTGCAGGGACATCATCCTAATCACAGTTATCCAGTCCATCTTGATTTGGACCATACATTGGCCCCCCAGACGTAGGTCAGCTGCAGCTGCTCAGGTCAGATCGAGTTTTGAAGGAGCACAGAAGGTCACCAGCAGCTTACAGCAAATCTCCTGCTGATTCTGTGCCAAAAAAACTCCTGCTCCTCCCCAGAAGAAGGCCAGCTCTCTGGTAGGTTTGCCAGCTTCTAACTCTTTTCTTAAACTGGATCTCAATAAAGTAGGCACGTATCCAACTGCTTAGGAACCGAGTGTATTTTCTGTTGGACCAACTCTAAAGGCTTGGTCAGGAAGCAGTGAATGAGCCCAGAATTAAGCTATGAAATACACTGTAGCCACATATTACAACACAGGAATTGACAGGTAACAATAAATACACTCACAAGTGTTATAACAATAAATATAGCCTAAAGGGGAAGAAAGAATTTTTTTTCTTTTTTTTTTTTTTTCTGGTCTCTGGACTTCTGAGACATAGCCTTGCTTTGAAAATGTTGGTTTAGAATTCATTAAGAAACCAGAGCCAACAATATCAAAATTTCTCCTCTTTCTTCTTGAAAACCCAATCACAAGTACCGCATGATTTTAAGGCACGAGAGATTTTGATTTTTCCAGTAATTCTGCTATCTGGTTGTGTTGCTTTAATTAGCTATCAGCAGCACTTAATTTATTTCTAGTGTATTGTTGCCAGCTTTTTACATATCTCTCCCAACCTGTGAAAAAAATCTCAGAAATAGACCTACAAAAATTAATCTTCCTGTTCCCTGTGCAGAGATATTAAAATGGTAATTGCATTCTTTATACCTCTAAAACCTGGTTCTACTTCTAGATACTTATCTGAAAGCCCAATGAAATTGTGTGATAGCAATTGTTGATGCTACTTACACATCACTGGAAGTTATTGAGATCTGATAGTAATCATGATATTGTAAAATCTTCACACAGTGAGGCCATAGTTCATCAGTGCCTTTCATTTTTATACTGCAGGGTGATTGCCTGGACACATAAACTCCACTTATTAATTCTTAGCACCATATTACCTTGATTTATTATAGCACAAGAATGTAATATCAAATGTACTCTACTCAGCTGGCAACACAGCAATTTCTTAAAACCCCATACCTTAAACACAGACTGCTTCCCCACATGTGGGTCATGTGGTCAGATCCCACTTTACTCCTGAATTTGTGGGGATTCACTTCCCACAGAAATCCCTTCTGCTCAAAAGCCCCCAGACTGCCAGGACTGCAGTTGGTTGGACACCCCTTGGGAAGATCA